TCCAGCAGAATACCTCATAAATCACCGCTTGAAATGACGGATAATAGCCTTGACAATAGAGTACTTGCATGCTTCACACTGTATCACAGGATAATGTTGAACTTACTTGCAGTGCAGAAGCTTAATAAATGACTCTCCTGTACTTTAGAAATACAGCTTCATAAAATGACAATGATAAGAGACTATGGGCCTTATCATACACCCGGCGCAATGCAAGTGTTTTTTGCTAGTTTCAGCCCGACGCAGTTATCATTTTCACGTCCTGCGTCACGTTGTTTAAATATCAAATGCATTTGCGTGCCCATGGGCGTGTTGGTCTGAAAATGAGGTGTGTTCAGGCGCATTGTTGGCGTGTTGCTGGCAGTTCAGTTGCCTCAGCTGGTTTGAGGCAACTGAAACCTGGTCTAAAGTCAATGGCACAATATTTTTTTTTGTTAATTAAAGAGTGCGCTAGTAATATGCGCCTATAGGCGGGTGAACAACTTGCATACACTCTGCTTATTACACACACAGGGACGCGCAGCAGCACACAAGCATGCCTAATATTAAAAACAAAAGGATTACAATGTAAAAGATTATTATTGTGCCCAGTAGATGGCCTGCTCGCGCGCTTTAACCTCGCGCACGAGCAGAACCTTTCCTCTCTGGAGAAGCGTTCAGTCTTTGCTCTTGCAAATTCCGCCAGGTAAATAGCGAATCCGCCATGGCGCGAGCGCAACTGGACTTTAAAGGGAATGGGAGATGAGACTCTGATTGGTTTATTGCACGTTACGCCCAAAACACACCCATGACTCATTAAGAGATTAGACATGCGCCCCGCGCGCCGACCGTTTTTCCCATCGTTAAACTAGCAAAAGTGGATTCGGACACGCCTTAAGTGCACTTGCGCTGTACACTTTAGACCATGCGCTTAGATCGTTAAAATATGGCCCTATGTCCATTTGCACTTAAAATCGATGTCATTAAAATTATAACCGATCAAACACTACTATTCAAACGTTTGGGGTTAGTAAGTCTCCTATGCTCACAAAGGCTGCAGATATTTGATTAAAATGCAGTAACAACAACAATAATGTGAAACATTATATTAATTTAAAATAGCGGTTTTCTATTGGACTATATTTTAAAATGTAATTTATTCCTGTGACGCAAAGCTGAATTTTCAGCATCATTACTCCAGTCTTCCGTGTCACATGATCCTTCAGAAATCATTCTAATATGCTGATTTGCTGCTCAAGAAACATTTCTTATTATTATCAATGTTGAAAACAGTTATGCTGCTTAATATTTTTGTGGAAACCATGAAGCAGTGTTTTTCAGGATTCAATGATGAATAGAAAGTTCAAAAGAAGATGCATTTACTGTCACTTTTGATCAAATTTGTGCATCCTTGCTAAATAAAAGCATGAATTTATTAAAAAAAAAAAAACACACTTTTGAACAGTAGTCTATATATTCAAATAATGAAAGTCACATCACATACGCAATCTAAAGCACACATATTTAAATTATGAACAGTATGTAAACTATTTAAGGCATTAACAAACAATCAAATGATGTTTGTGAAGTTTTTACCTGGTTCTGGGTTTCTAAAGTTTCCCAAAATTATACTGGGACAACCAGGTCTTGCAGAGCAAATACAGGACTTGAAACTGTCCCGCAGTGCTTGCTCTAGCAGCGACAGCAATGCTAAATCATCTGCAAAGAGAAGCTTTAGATCCGCCGTCATGCTGGGTACACCTGGGAACTCGAGTGGTTCCAACTGTAATGCAGGTTTGTCAGGCCTTAAACTTACTTTTACTGTCTGAGTCAAAGATTCAGTTCTGTTTGAATGATTCTTTGAGTCAGAATTTAATCTGCACAGACAACTACACGCACATAAAATATATATCTTTTTGAACCACTGGTGCTAGTTTGAGATGGGACAGTCAGTTTGGTCTAACAATGGCAGAAGGGGTGCAAGAAGTGTTTGAGAAACCTACTTGAAAACATTATTTCTGCAATTTGACTAGTGGCACAGCAATTACATTATTGCCCAGTCTACCTTAAAATCATTTATTTTAGTCATCTCATTATTATTCATAGATATTCATACATTTGAATAGACACCAACACATACAATAGCATATGGATGGCTTTTTAATGCATGGCACCGCAGAAATACAAAATCCTCTGTTTAGGTTCAGAGAATATTGAACAGCTAACCTAATTTTAGCATATTTCTAATAAATGAGATATATTAAATATGCTTAACAGTGCTGAAATATTAATTTAACACAGTTAGCACTCACATAAACCTAATTTGACATTGAAACTTTGAAAAAATTTTGATATATTGCGTATCAGTCTAAATGAAAACGCACTCTACATAGGAATAAAGAGGGGATGTTGAATTATTGGTCAAACGATGTTCTAGTACTTTGTAAAAAGCCAATTTATCTAATCTATAAATGAGATATATTAAATATGCTTAACAGTGCTGAAATATTAATTTAACACAGTTAGCACTCACATAAACCTAATTTGACGTTGAAACTTTGAAAAAATGTTGATATATTGGTTATCAGTCTAAATGAAAACGCACTCTACATAGAAATAAAGAGGGGATGTTGAATTATTGGTCAAACGATGTTCTGGTACTTTGTAAAAAGCCAATTTATCTAATCTATTGCTATCTGAAATGAATAATAACAGCTCCTAATAAAGACTAAGAACAATTACCAATGTCTCTGTAGTGATTAAAGGGTTTAATCGTGTCTTTTTCCAAAAGCAGCAGTGAGAAACTGTTAGATGTTAGTTATTTCTCCTTTTTTTACTTCCAAGTGCCATATGGGCAGACAGGCTTGAATCCCAGACAAAGCTTATCAGGGGTAAAGAGCACCACTAAAGGTGTTTTTGGCCATGCTAAGTCACACGTGGCACAGCTACAGCCAAACAGATGCTAGCATTTCTCTCAAGTCCAGTGACCACATGCTAACAAGGCTTGCAGAAAGAGAACAAAGCTTTCTGTTATTTCTGCTTAAGTGGGACAATGTCTGTGTAGTGAGGCTGAGGCTCTACCACATTATCTTAAGAAACAGAGGAGAATCAAGGCTTCTGTACTAGTCGTTAGCAATTCTAGCTGAAATAATGATCACTCTGTGGATAACAATTCAGGAGGAATCCTGCTGTTGACGGCTGATGCCGGTTATAAGTGCTGTATTTTGGGTTTGCTTTGCTTTGTGTGTGTGTGTGTGTTTTGGCGAGCATCTCTCAACGAGAGAGCATCTCTTAATACTGGACCACATTTATGAAATTTGAGCTACGGTAATTTGCATAAAATCAAAGTAAAATTTTTCAGACAACAGAACAAGAATGGTGAATGTGCATTGTAAAAAAAAAAAAAAAAGTCTTAAACTAAACTAAATAAAAGTAATTTCGATTTTACTTGAACTTTAACTAAATTAAACTTAATTAATATTTCAATTCTAGTATGCAAATTATAAGTTACACTGCATAATATTAATAATAATTATAATAATGTCTATGCAATATTTTGTTTAATGTAATGTATATAAAACAAACATTTAATATAAAATTATTATTATTATTAAAAACAAAAACAATAATAGTTGTTGTTTGGTTATATTAAATATACTGTTAAAAGTGCAAATGTTAATATAAAAACATTTAAAACTAAAAATATGACATTATTATGAAATATATAGATATTAAAAAAAAATATTTTTTTACATTTTCACTTTAAACAGCACTTCCTTTTTCTTTGCTGTGATTGGCTGATTGACATGAGGAGGATGGCTGTTGTAATAGATAATGCCTGTCATCCAATAGAATTGAATAGGTCATAATAAACTCTTTATGTGGCCAAGTATCGGCCAGACTGATTAATCAAGAAGAACTTATCAAATACTACATGTAAGGCTCAAAAGTAGGACTGCACGATTAATCGAATACGATTGTCATGCGCATCTTGTCAGTAAAGCCGGTTCTGGGATTAGTAGTAAATCTCCATCACGTGCTTTCAGATGGAGCAGCATTTACTACACAGAGTCGTAGTTCTCTGACAAGCTATGCAAAATAGCATTCATATTCTCAGACGATATAATATGAAATAGAAGAAATCGTTCTGCGATTATGAAAGCTGTTTGCGTAGCTTGTCAGTGAACTACGGCTCTGTGTAGTAAATGCTGTTCCATCTGAAAGCACATGAAAATACCACATTTAATAACATGTTTTAATTCCAAACTCACTTCATAACGTCAGTCGAGTGTTTGAAATAAATCCTTCTGTGAGATGATGTGGCTTCTTACACACGTCTGCGATTATTTTTTTTATTTTTTTTTTTGCGTAACTTGTCAGTGAACTACGGCTATGTGTAGTAAATGCTGTTCCATCTGAAAGCACATGAAAATACCACATTTAATAACATGTTTTAATTCCAAACTCACTTCATAACGTCAGTCGAGTGTTTGAAACAAATCCTTCTGTGAGATGATGTGGTTTCTTACACAGAACATATTTCATAGTATTTTAAGCAGTGATAAAGGCTTGATTAGCATTGCATTATATACTTTGTTATAATAAACATTATAATAAGATGAACTCGGATAAACCATATATTGTTGTAGTCGTGTGTTTATTAGTAACGTATATTGCCGTAGTCGTGTGTTTATTAGTCATGTTGAATCAATGAAAGCAGTTGAATCTTCTGTTTATTCAGCTGCAGCATTTTCTGGGTTTCTTCTGCAAGGCGTATTTGAAGTTTCAGCGCGAGAGCGCCCTCTGGCCTTCGGATGGAGATTTACTGATGATCACAGAACTGTGCTTCACTGAAAGATACGCATGACAATCGCAGCTTCTGCCTAATCGCGATTTATCGCCTTTGCGATTTAATTTCGATTAATTGTGCAGCCCTACCCAAAAGCAATTAGATCATCATTACAAATTCACAATCATATTTTAGTTCAGTGGCATAAATGTTTGCAGGTGTCCGTACGCACCTTTAACGCTGAGTTCAGCATAGTTTGAAACTCCAGATCCTCCATCAGAACGAATGACACAGCGGTAACGGCTGGTGCTGCGCTGTGACGTGTCCGTTACGCTAACGGTAGCGGAGAAGCGCCGATGGTTCACCACTCGGGTCACCATGAGAGACGTGTCTTTACCATTCCATATAGTCTCCAGCCAAGGGAAAAAGTAATTTTATCCAAGACTTCATGGACACAGATGCTGGCTTAGAAATCCTGCTGACAAAAATCTCTAACAAGTTATTAAGTTTCCTCAAGCAATGTATCTCAGGACAAAGGTTCAAAACCTCCCAATGCAAATGAAGTGAACATTACACGCACACACATAATAGAGATGCTCAGAGATAAAATCAACATTTTGAGCATGTACACTAAAAAAAAGTGAAACGACTGTGTAATTTATTTAAAATATTATATTGGTCTAATTGAAAATCTTGGTTTCCGGTTTAAACCTGTTTTGTTCTGTTAATAAATCCCCAATAAAAAAAGCAAATAAAACTCTACTGATGTGTACATGACACAAAAATATGCTGCGTATTTCAGAAAACGTCACAATAACTATTAAGGTCTTTCAAACTTGTCTTTATTTATAGTAAGTAAACTAAATTAAACATTGACTAACAAAATATTTTATTTTAAGTAAAAAAAAATCTATATTCATGTTATAGCTAATGTAGCTTTTGTTTATGGTGAAATTCAGTTGTAAAAATAGACAGACAGACAGACAGACAGACAGACCTTAAGTTACATTTTGGCTTATGTCTAAAGATAATACATGAATTCAGTATGGTATGGTCTTTATAATAAATAATCTTTGTACTATCTTTGTATGAATCTCTTTGACTTTAGGAAAAGAAACAAGGTTTGAACCAAACCATAAATATAATTTGAAAAAAAAAAAAAAACGCTAACTTTTTGCTGTAACATAATAAAGTTGGTCCCAAGTATAATTTTTTCCAGTGCTATAATCAAACCAGGTTTGATTCGTCACTGAATGTTTCTATGGGTATTTTTTTTATTTTTACTCTTGAGATTTAAGCAAGCGGGTCCTGGCCAAAACAAGCAGCACATAGTTCAACAAAATAAGAAATATCACACACAAAAAATAATGTTATTAAAAATATATCTGTTTTTACTAGTCCTAAATCCCGCTAAATGCACCCGTCGGCAAGTGAGCCCTTGTGAGCGCCTTCCAGGTTAAAAGGGTTACAAATAATGTATATAAAGACAACAGAAAAAACTTTTTAGAAAATCTATTTTAAAAATCATGTGCAAGTTCTTAGATATTTAATCTTTGTATTCATGTTGGTTTCAAGTGGTGGTTTGACCCAAACCATAAAGCTAATTTAAAAAAAAAAAAAAAAACACTAACTTTTTGCTGTAACATAATAAAGTTGGTCCCAAGTATAATTTTTTCCAGTGCTATAATCAAACCAGGTTTGTCACTGAATGTTTCTATGGGTATTTTTTTTATTTTTACTCTTGAGATTTAAGCAAGCGGGTCCTGGCCAAAACAAGCAGCACATAGTTCAACAAAATAAGAAATATCACACACAAAAAATAATGTTATTAAAAATATATATGTTGCTGTCCCTTTATGTGAGATTATATGTGAATGCATAAAGTATGTGTGTGTGTGAGGTTGTGTACTGACTCACCTGTAGCCAGAGTTTGTCATGTTGTGACCATTTGCCTCCAGCAATACACTGGAAGGTGGCATTCTGTCCCACGTTCACCTCGACATTCTGCAGCCGCAGAAAATGTGGTGTCTTGCCTACAAAACAAAACACATATACCTTCAAAAAAATCATAATACAGCATCCATGCAAATTATATAAAGCACATGTGCTATATAGACACTGGTGGTCAACTATGCAGTGGCCCAAAAAAGCTTACAAGTTTACCCAAGTAACATTTGACGACAACAAAGTGTTAAAATTTTGACTGTTATATTGTTTTATGGCATTTTGTTTTATAATTTCAAACCTAACAAATATATTTTTGTGAAATACTTACCTTATGAAGTGTACTTGTGTTAACATTTCTTACAAAATATCAAAGAAACTGTCTTTTATAGTATCTATTGACATGACATTCAAATTTTGAAAGTGCTCCTTTCACTTCTTGTATTGTGTGATGGTGAACATGGTTTCTGTCTGGTTTTCTGATTGTACGTTTAGAATCACCATCTGAAAACAAGAAATTTAATGGAGCTCACATTTGTATTCAATATTATTTCCAATAAACATTCTCTCATTTGCATGTACAGGTGCATAGAGGTTTACAGGTGCATTTGTGAGAAGCGTAACTCTTGCACTAGCTGAACTCTTGATTCTCAGTACAGCAGTCTCCACCCACTCTCTCTGCCAGCTTTATTATCTGTGCATGCATTTCTGCACAAAAGCAATATCAATCTTTTTCAATTAAAGTCACTGAGAATATAGATTTATTTTTTAGTATCTCTGCTATAACGTGAAAAGTGTTCAGATTTAATGAAGGAATCTTAAAATTACCCACTATTATTATTATGGCAAGTAAAAAAAAAAGAAAGTCAAGATAAGATGCTTCCATGACACTGGAAATGGAAGGAATGTCATCCGAGTGTACACAGTAACTTAAAAGTTACTGTTAAAAGTTTTTTAAGTAACTTAAAAAAAAAAAGGTTACTGTGATTTGTCATTCAAAACCCATTTTACTTCTGTAATCAAACATGAATCTTAAAATTACCCACTATTATTATTATGGCAAGTAAAAAAAAAAGAAAGTCAAGATAAGATGCTTCCATGATCTATGATTGTGTTCCTTCAACTCGGTTCTTATTACATTTTTATTGAAAATTCTGGTTATGTGGAATGGAATACTAGCTTACTGCATACGGTGCAATACGTAAAAACTGTCATTTTGCACTTTGCACATTTGTCTAAAAAAAAAAACAATGTTGAACAGAAAAAATATATTAGTGACACTGGAAATGGAAGGAATGTCATCCGAGTGTACACAGTAACTTAAAAAAAAAAAGGTTACCGTGATTTGTCATTCAAAACCCATTTTACTTCTGTAATCAAACATAAGGGAAAAGGATTTTGAATGCGAATAAAATGCTTATGACGTGCAATGATGAATCATGCACAATAAGACCAGGGGGTCATGTTCACTTCTACAATATGAATTAACCTCATTTCTTCATCGGCACTGCTGGCTTTACATTAGTGACACAGAGAGATCTAGGACAACGGAAGTCAAAGGCTAAAGTTTTCCTGTCACAACAAGAATGATGGGGGCCTGAAGTCTGAGCACTCAGCTCTGCAATCTGTCTCCCTCTATCTCTCATCCTCAGCACAGACCTGCTTGTTTGCTGGCCTTTTCCATCTCTGTTCAACCCTCGATCCACATGAAGTGCTTTTCACAGTAGTTGACAGACTGAACTCCTACAGCGTAGCCAAGACTGTGAAAGTAAGCAGGCGCTGTGTGTGTGTATGTATGTGTGTACTCACGGCAAGGGTGGGCCAAAACGTGTATCTCATCCACTGCGATGAACCCAGGATGCCCTTGTACAGACACAGCCTCAAAAATAACCTAAACGAGAGAAGAGGGGAGAGGAAATCAAGTGTTTAAATCAAGTCTGCTTGTTTCAGACTAAACTGAGACGGTCTATTTATTTCAAGCATGAAAATATTCAAGTCAACAGGAGAGATCTTTAACTGTAAAACCACCTATGTTAGCCCCAAATCGTATTCAAGCTCTTGTGGCACACTTAAAAAATATTTGAATGTCCATGCATCTTGCATTTATTTTACAGAAAGACAGCACAAGAAAACTTTTCAAGCCATAATAATCTGATAATCTGCACTTAAACTCTGCAAACACAAATTCGAACACACACATATGGGACTGGCATGGTTTGCATGGCATACTGTACATGCCATGTGGTGAGGACATGTGTGGTCTGAACAATGCCCTCTCTCTCAGAGCTGCCAAGGACTGGCACTAGAAAGCCAAAATCTGGACACAGGATGCACTTGAGTCCACAGCTTCCCAAAAAGGCCTCACTGTGACCAGTCAAGAGACTCAATCTACTCGACCAGATTCAATTCTCACCATGTTGTTCAGGGTGAGACTGTGGAGACTAAAGGTGTGTGTTTCAGATCAGAAATGTTGTGGAAACTGCTTTCAGTGGCTTAAGCTTTATGTTGTTGTTTGGATCAGTTCTCAATTCTCAATCCTAGAAAAGAGCAGTGTGAATATCCTGCCACACAGGTTTGGAACGACATGAGTTTGAGGAAATAATGACAGTATTTTCAATTTTGAATGAGCAAACCTTTTACATCGTCATTTTATCATCTTTGCCCCTACTCAAGGACATTGCTGTATTCATAATTTATTCACAACATTATGGCTGACACAAATTATCTCTAAAACTGTCAGGACATGGGAAAAAGAACAGCTTTTTAAAAATGTACCATCACAAATTCATTGTCAGATTTGCCTCTTTTTCCTTTTGCATATCATAAAACTTTACCCTTTAAACACTGTCACTTTGAAAGTGGCACCCTACTATTTAAAATGTATCACGGCAGGAAACAAGTCAGTTAACCCAAAGAATAGTCTTGTCAAAATTGGCCACTTATCTGCAAATCCGTTGCTCTAATCAAACTCACAGTGGGATATTTTTCAGTATAGTTTACGATCCCATGGGCAGATTTTCTAGTAGATATTAGTTTTCGATATTTAACAGGTCATTGATTACGTTCAACTCAGCAAGAGAAGCAAATACTTTAAAAAACTTTAAATGGCATTCTGTGAGCACAAACTGGGAACAAGCACCTAGAGAGTGTGATTCTCAATTTTTATCAAGAATATGTCAGTCTTAATTCAAAATCAAAATAAACCCACAAAAAAAGAAATATAAAATATAATTTTAATATTTAAATATAAGTAATACTATACAATTTTATTATAAAACAATTTCTTAAATTTTAAAAGGAATTGCAATCTAAATGAAATCTAAATTATAATATTTATAATTTATATTATGCAATAAATACCAATAATATTAATAATTAATACATTTATATTATTATACACTGTTTGGTTATATACACTTGCACATTATTTTATGACATTCCCCACAAGCACAAATACACACACACACACACACACACACACACGCACGTACGTACGCAAAAGCTTTGATATTGCCTGCTGGTCAAATAGATGCCCTCAGCAAATATTGCCTTTAGCAAATATTGGTCTGCTGTTTGCAAAGAGAAGTTCAGTATTGCCAGCACAGGTTAAATATTTGCTCTTCTCATTAGTTAATTCAATTACATGGCTAATCTTATGAGGGTATTTCACTCCACAGATTGACTGGTGAATCTACAGAGAGAATGAAGAGGAGCACAAGAGGCAGAGAGAGATAGAGAGGAGATCTGGGTGTGAAGAATCTGAAGAGAAAAAGAAGGAGTGAGCGAAAGTGAGAGGTAATAAGCAAAAGGACTGATCTAAAATTAACAGTTAAAAGCTTATTCACCAGGGCCATTTGTGGGTGAGATTAGGGGACAGTGATTGCAGTGGTAATTGGAGTAGAGAGCAATCTACTGCCTCTCTCTGCAGTTCAATTGGTGCCATTCACCACAAATATATGGCAGACAATAAACTACTGTCAATTTCTGTTGCTAAGGGGACAACATTTTCAGTACTTATTTTAGCTGCTGGTTGTTTGTTTGCTACGTGGCTCATCCTGCTAAAAAAAAAAAAGTTAATTGATCATGGTTGTCATCATTTGCTCCATAGACTTCCATTGTAAGTGCGTAACTTAATCTTAATCGTGTTAATCTTGAGTACCTATAGAGTAGTACTGCATCCTTCATATCTCCAAAAAGTCTTTAGTTTTATCATATTTATAAAAGAAAGATACAGCTTTACGATTCTCTCCGGAAAAAGCCAAGCTCCTGGAGGTGCGCCGTGGGCGGAGCTACAGAGTGACGAGCACTTGGGCGCCGAATGCCAACAAAACAGACATTTGATGCTGTTTCACTTACTGTCTGCAGTTCTGAATCATGACGGGGTCTTTTGGCGCTTTTCCACTGTGTGGTACGACTCGGCTCAGCACGGCATGGCTCGGTTTGCGTTTCCACTGCAGTTTAGTAAGCTTATCGATACTCCGGTCTTTCATAATTTAGCCCCGGGACCGATTAAATACCGGGTTTCGGTACCCATCCCTAGCCACACCTACCTAAAACAGCTCGTTCTAACACGCCAAAACATACCTACGTCGCTTTCATTACACCAAATACACAAAATACTGTTCTTTTTAGCAGCATCATATGAACCCTTTAAACCAGAATATTCTGAATTTGAATTTTTTTTTTAAACACAGTATGCAGATTCTCTTAATTGAAACCCATTTGGCATTTGACTTTGGCATTGTTAGCATCATGCTTACCTGATAGGAGTTGGGCCAAAAGGTGCTGATGGCGAGTTCAGCCTTCACCCAGCCTTCAGTGACGGGTGCTGAGGCATTCCAGATGGGATTCCCCTGTGGTCCACCATCCACTTTTATGTAGACATTAAGGGTTCCGGGACTCGTCCCATCCCGGCTAGACAGGGAGTAGTGGAAGTCTATGCAGTGGGTGTCATTCTCTTTTAGCGTGGGCAGGAGCAGGTGGGCCTTCTGACCTGATGCACGACCCGAAGCATTCACCATCATGAAGGAACCTAGAAGAGGAAAACATCACTTTTACTTGGGCTTTTAGTATATAAGAGGTCATGGTACTAAAAGAATATCCTGAAAGTTTCAGAACTGAAAACGTCCTTGCTACTGAAATAAAAGCTTTTATTGACACCAGGCCCTGTGAACGCCAGATCCTGGAATGTGCCTATCTATAATAGATAGGTTAAACACAGAAGAACATCAACACCTAATTCTGTAGCCCCACCCACTGATTTGCGCATGACAGTTGGGAAATAACATAAGTGGCGCTAAACCGGATTGAGCAACCAAGCAATAAACATGCCGTTGAAGATCGCAGAATATTGTGCAGTGGCTGGTTGTGGAAGAACACAGTCGCTGCATAACCTTCCTTCGGATTCAAATATTAGGAATGCGTAGTTGAACTTTATTTTTAATGACGTTTCAGCTCACGCGATTAAATCATTGAGCTTTTGTTCGCTTCATTTCACCACGGATTCCTTTGTAAACAAGACACAGGTCGACGCTGGATTTGCAGAGAGACTGAGATTAAAAACCAGTGCGGTGCTGTCTATATTGGATCCGACAGGAATGGTGCAGCACACTTATGTGAGTAAAAATATTTGTACTATGTGTCACTATTGCTTTGTTAGAGATCGCTTGATGTGTCCGTATTATGTGTATGTCTCTAACCAGTCACAGAAGGCTCCAACTATGAAGGACGTAACTTGTCAAACAGACACACAAAAAGTTAGTTTACTATGCAAAACTGTTATCCAATCATAGCAGTAGGCCTTTACTTCCAAGTCTTCAATGCGGCACACCCATAAAAACCCAGCGTTTCTCGAGCCAGCCTCAAAACCAGGGTAGAAAATAGCCTATTACTTATTGATTTTGATGTTTTTGAATGTAAAAACCATGCAAACGTCATATGTGGACCTCAGATAACAGTATAAAATAATAAATGCAGTGACATTTAATAAAGCCAGTTCATGACCCCTTTAACTACACTTTATTAGAAGGAATTGGAAGTAATACAACATATGGAAATTGATATAGTAAATAATTAATAGAATAGAATAGAATAGAATAGAATAGAATAGAATAGTTCACCACATTCAGCTGGAATTTTTGCAGCTACAACAAAGCAACAAGTAAACAAGTGTTATTTGATTCTTAGGGCAAATCTTTTAAAGAATAATTCAAAAAGACGCTTATTGAACAGAATGTTTTGATGTTCGGTATCTTATACTCTTTTCCCACAGTAAAGGCTACATTGTAATTTTGCACATCGTGTTCATGCTCTTCTGTGCCTTTGTAAGCAGAAAACATCACATAACTGAGTAACTGGGTAACTTCCTGCTATAAAACCACACTGAAACTGTAAGTGCTGAGGCACTATTTATGAAATGATTCTGTGGACAGCTTTACATCCATTTTACTCCAATTTTATGAGACAATATGCAATCTTACAGCCTTATGAGTAGTTTTGTACAAGTCACTACCAACAATGTCACTGCATTAGAAAGAATAAAGAGGGCTTCAGAGAAAACAAAAATCATGATTTACTTGAAAAAAGTGACAATTATTCACCGCCTTCAGGGAAAAGCATTTAGTTAAGCTAAAGACCCAAAGGTGGCTTTTTTTTTTTTTTTTTGATAAATTACAGTAATTCATTCAGAGTTCTTTAAAAATTTCCACAAAAAGAGTTCTACTCATTCATGTCAGGTAAAAGGTTTTAGCCTTAACAAAGATGAAAGCATGATTATCAATCAAAACTCTGGCTATTCAATAGCATTTTTACAGCAATTATAGCACTGTTCATGATTCGGTGACTGAAAGACCTTAGAAACATTCCACATGTTGTGCGCATATGCAGGTCCTTTCACTAGGGACTATTCTGAGTTGTGACATACAAAAAATTTAGTATATCTACTATAATATATGTTGCTTGCAAAAATGTTATTTCATCAGAACTTCTGAATGGCCGCCAATGCAGAACCAGGCTTTTTGGATCCGGATGGTGTACTTATGTCAAGCTATGTGCATATGTTAAGGGCTAGGTTAAAACATCACATACGTAGGTCAAAATCAGTTCTAATTTTTCCAGACACCTTTCTGCCTGACTGTGCTAAATCACCATGCATAATTTGCCAGGTGGGCAGAGGAAGCCATTGCCATAACACCCCATTCATCACCAGTATTATCTAAGACATGACCACAAGACCCGAGCGCATCGCATCTATCAATCAACACAACCTTGAGCCCTGGGATGAGGCCAATCAATTCCACACACTGATCCAATCTAGTGAAGGCCCCCTAAACAGCGGGCCGGCAGTGAACTCGCCTGATTGCATTTCATATTCAACCCTCTCGGCCCACGTGCATTTTCCATCAGGTATTCCGAGCAGACATCTATATATTCCCTACCGTTGATGATTGCCTATATATATGTTCGGGCAAAGTGAGGCCTTTGAACCGAGAGGTCATTTAGACCGAACCTACAAGCAGGCAATCAGCCCTACTACCACGGTCAATATGAGTGTCCTCAATCACATCATCGGCCGCTTCAGTAGATTACACTGTCTTAAGCTGAGCTAATGTGAAATCGGATGTAATGGTTCTATGATAAATAATTCAACACGTTTTATTTCAGGTGGACTGCTGGATGCACAAAACACTCTTGACAAATCAGCCCGCATGAGCATGACAACAAACACGGCTGTGATTGGCACAATCTTGCGGTGGGACTTCGCACGAGAATTTTAAATGGAAATTAATGTTTACATCATGAAGAATGCGATGCAGCCGCAGCTCTTGCTGGAGAACAGATTAAAAACACGTAGCCTCCAAATTGCTTCAGTGATATTACCAGATTTCAATTACCTCCTGGAGTCCCAATGCATTGGAGGCACTTACATTTCATGTATTAATGAGTTCTGGGATGAATCAAAATATTATTAAAAGTTGAATATTTTGAGAAATATCTGACCATGATATACAACTTGTTATGCACATTCTCAAGGGCAACACTATTTGGATGATAATTCTTTTTCCTGCAAATGTGGTGGATGCAGATAAACACAAATCAATGGCGATGAAGATTTCTCTCAATACTTACTGCAGAACGAAAATGGCTTCTGGAGTAAAACGCAGCACTTGGCTATCTCCTTTACTAAAATCGATAGCAATATGAGAGTCGTTCTCAGCTATCAGTAAACATGCCATCAACAAAATAGAGTCCTCACAGAATCACAGCTACACTACTGTTGATTTAATGCTGTTCACATCAACCAATAACCAGTACACGGTTTTTGAGACCAAAGTCGAGGCAGATCCATTACTGTTTTTCTAGGACAGCGCAACAGTCTGTAAAACATCTTCATAGGGGCCACGCAAGGCAACACGATAAGGTATCGCTTCAGTGCCACTTGGTTGACAGCTGTCACACTTGCGTTAATGTGAAGAGATGTTATGTGAATTCATTTACGTCTAAACGCCCTTGATTGGAAGATTTATCGGTTCAAACATCTGAGAAGCAGTTTTAGAATGCTGTGCAATTCACATCAATCTTAGAGACGCCTGGCCCTTGTGCGTCAATTTCAACTCATTTTCTCGAAGAGGCTTCTTCTGCGTGTGGCTGCAAAGTACCGAGAGGACTTGCCGGTGAAAGTCATTATTCCCTCTGAGTATTTCCACTGGGAGCTCTTTGCACTAAATGTCACATTCCCGCCATCATAATATGATCCCCCACATAACAAATAGCAAAAACTCTGCTAGTTGTCACTTTAATATGCAATTATGGCAGGTCCCTGTTCTTTGGGCCCTCTGCTGCTCGGTCTGATAAAGTCACGGCATTCCTCATTTCTTCCTGGCAGTTTTATCCTGGGAACAATAAAGCACTTATTTACCATTGAGCCAAGCAAGGGCAGTAATCCGCAACGTACCGTGGAAAAGCTAATGCGTAGATAGGGAAAACACAGAGAGGAATAAAAAGGAAGCGAGGAAAGAGCTTCAATAGGTGTGGAGGCCCGATCCCTTTGAGCATCCGTTAAAATATTCAGACAGCACAGAAAAACTAAACAAATACAAACTACCATTCAAAAATTTGGGGTCACTATGATTAATGCTTTTATTCAGCAAGGTTGCATTAAATTGATCAAAATTTACAGTAAAGACATTTATAATGTAAAAAAAGATTTCTAATTCAAATAAATGCTGTTCTTTTGAACTTTTTATTCATCATAGATTACTGAAAAAAATGTATCACGTTTCCACAAATATGTTAAGCAGCACAATGGTTTTCAACATTGATAATAAAAAATGTTTTTTAAGCAGCAAATCAGCATATTAGAATGATTTCTGAAGGATCATGTGACACATGCTGAAAATTCAGCTTTGCATCACAGGACAAATTACATTTAAAATATATTAAAATAGATAAATATCAAATTGCAATAATATTTTACAGTATTACTACTGTTTTACAGTTAATAAAGCCTTGGTGAGCATGAAAGACTTTAAAGAAAACTTTTAAAAAAATAATAAAATAAAATAAATAATGTTTAAAAAAAAAACATACCATCCCCAAAGTTTTAAATGGTTACGTATACACTGAAATAAGAAATCAATTAATACGTATTTTTCTAAACTGACACCTTCCAAAAGCTTTTGTCTCTCTTGAGCTCACGGTGTTCTAATTGAGGTCCTGTAGTGTGAACGTTAGGGGAAGAATAGCAAAATACAGTTGAAATGTCACATGATGGGACAAAATTGGCTTATTACCCAGTGAATGAGATAATTCCCACCTATCATGTTCACAACTGATCCGCAAATGACCTGAGAGGGAAATGGACAGACTAATTACTAAGTAAATAACTCAGCCACTCGGACATCTCACTTTCGACCACATCCGAATCTAAACAAAGCTGAAATGACTTGTGAAACACAAAATGAGTCAATTTGTAGAGACTTCTCAGTTTGGTTAAATTAAAGGTGTACCTCCATGCCAGCAACGTTTACAGAC